TCCGAAGATCTGCTCTGCTGAAAGATGCTGGCAGCCAATGTGCAGAATCAATGAAGCTGACTTCAGGCTTAAAAACAGCCAGACTGATCTCCACTCAGCGCAAAGTTTTAAACATATTTTGTCAACCACTTTCAGTTTCTTGTTTCTTTCTCTTGTATTTTTAACAATAAATGCAGGTAGCAAGGAGACTATGCAAGCAGTTACTCTGACTCTTAGGCATAATCCACAAAGACTCTCACTTGGGTCTGGACTTTTTAAAAAAATGACGAACTCTCTTGAAATGGTAGAAAGTGACTTCGAATTCTACCAGTTTTAATATAGACCAGGATTCCTGTTTAAACTTTCCTCTCCAATGGCATATTCCTAAAGGGTCACAAAACTGATTACATAACAAAAGTGTGGTCAGGCTGCTGATCCCTTTTGGCGTCCTTTGTATAAGTATCATACACATCCAGAAGTTTATGTATACTTGTATCCTTAATCTGACAAACACACAAACTCTTGTTTGTAACAATGGCCCTTGATTCTGTTATTACTTCAAAAGTGAACTTGGAAAGTCACTCCTACCAGTATTTCTCAGAACCTCTCTGTAGCCATCCACACCATTAACACTCATTAAATTCATAAGAACATTTGAAGATGAAAGGGAAAATATTACTTCTAAACTTTATTCCTGCCTTAAGAATAAGCCAAATGTGTAACACGTTACACTTCAGAGTTTTTCCAACCACATTGGCCTCAGTGAAATGGTTACATTTAAATGTATTCTCTAAAAGCTAATTGTTATACTCAACAGAGGAACCTGTGCAAAGAATGGACCATCTAATGTGCTACTTGTAGAACAGTATATTAAAGAAGCCTGTTAACATGTAGTTTAAAACTCAAAAGAAACTCTGAACAGCTGAAACGCCTTATAAATAGCACAGACCCAGAGGAAGTGCAAACGTCTGCATTGTGAATTGTAGATCTTAATTACCGACAATGGCTGGTACAGCAAGTAGCAAGGAAAAAAAGTGAAACAGTTGCACTGTTCATGGTTGGCAATAATTCTTCAGGAAAATATTTACTATCAATCAGTTATGAGAAAAGGGACTCTGTGCTCGTAAAACAGCACGTTGCTTCTCATACCAGGACCATTTTGCTTCAGCATAATCTGAATTTAAACAGCTTGTTTCCTGCGGATATAATTTTGGAAATAAATAAAACAAGTCTTCTATCAAAATCTGGAGTAAGTGGAAAGGAACGTCACATTTTTCTGTCTCAGTCAGTTACAAACAGATTATTAGTCTCAAGTAAAAAACAATAACAACAACAACAACTATAATACAGAACACATCTACAAAGGACTACTGAAGTGGTTTATTTTCCAAACATAGAGGCAATACTTCTTCCTACCTGGACAAGAATCTAGGTAGATATGTTCAAACAACTCAATTTTAACTGTGTATGTGTGTATAAGGGTAAATTAGGGAAATACCTGAAATCAAACTTTTCAGTAATATTTAAATAAAGTTCAATTAAAAGATAACAAAGGATTAGGGGGTCTTCATTTTTCCAGTTAGTTTTCTTTATCAATTAAAAAGCATCATGAAGATTGACAATCAGGTACAATGTAATTATTGATTTTAAACACTAAGTTGGCAGTCAATAATGACTGTCCATTTAAAGGTACAATAAATACAAAGCTCATCATGTTCCAATCACAAATCTCAAAAAATTCAGGGTTATAATTATTAAGAAGGAAGGCTTTGGAAGAAAATAAGACATTTCAAGTGCCTCCAAATATTACCTGGATTAAGTTATACTGATAAAATGACCCCTCCTCCATTTTTATTTTTAAACTAGAGGCCCGGTGCACAAAATTCATGCAAGAGTAGGCCTTCCTTTCCCTGGCTGCAGGCACCAGCTCCCCTTTGGCAGCCGGGACCCGTGCTTCCCTGCAGCCGCTGGCAGGCACCCAGGACTTGGGCTTCCCTCACAGCCCTGGCTTTGTCTGGAAGGTTGTCTGGAAGGATGTCCAGTCTAATTAGCTTATTACCCTTTTATTATTATAGATCTTTTTTAGGCATCATTCTTCAAGTTAGAGATTCAGAAGATTATTATTAACCTAGGGTGACTGTAGTTTGTCTTACAACTTTGTGGGGGTATTTTGTATTCTAAACAGGGCCAATGGGTCTCTTTCCATAGACCTATAGTAAAACACTTATTGTAAGATATTTCCAGCAATGAAGAGTCACATACAATGCACTATAAGGGGTCTGAACATAACAACATTGCTATTTTTAAGGGAATAACTGGTAGTAAAGTTTTCTCTAAAACTCATATAAACAGTATTCAATAGTAAGGTTTTAGACTTTAATTATCATCTCCACCTAAATCAGTGATGACGAACCTTTAGAGTTTGGTGTGTCAGCATTTTGAAAAACCCTAACTTAACTCTGGTGCCATGTCACATATAGAAATTTTTTGATATTTGCAACCATAGTAAAACAAAGACTTATATTTTTGATATTTATTTTATATATTTAAATGCCATTTAACAAAGAAAAATCAACCAAAAAAATGAGTTCGCGTGTCACCTCTGACACACGTGTCATAGGTTCGCCATCAATGACCTAAATCAAAGTCACTCCTACCAGAACTGACTGCTTTGAACTAGAGCCCAAAATGGTTGCTATCACTATATTATAGTTGCTCTCACATGGAGATGGCTGGACATTCAAGGCCACTTTGGAGTTCAATCTGAATCAACAGACACTTGTACCAACTTAAAAACCATGCAGCCATATCAAGTGTAGCAGATGAAACTATTCAGTTAAGGGCTAAAGGTGAAGAACAGAAAATAGGGACAAGCTTGCAGACCTACAAAAATAGTACCAAGTCATTATTTTTCAAAGGTGAAGCAATAAATGAGGCCAACAGAAATAGTACAGAATCATGATATACTATAATATGTAAATGAAAAAGGTAAAATTCTTCCCCTATTCCCATGTTGTTGGTACTTCACTGAAGGCTGTTGCAAAAAGAATAGAATTCAGCTACATGTTTTTATTTGCCATTGATCAATAGTTTATTTAGCTCAATTCTGAAGAAATGAACCAGAAGACAGACAGCCCATGGGCCAATAAAAGGAACGATAAGCCTTAGCTGGTGTGGCTCAGTGGATAGAGCGTTGGCCTGTGGATTGAAAGGTCCTGGGTTCGATTCCAGTCAAGGGCACATGCCTAGGTTGTGGGCTCGATCCCCATTGTGGAGTGTGCAGGGGGCAGCCAATCAATGATTCTCTCTCATCATTGATGTTTCTATCTCTCCCTTCCTCTCTCTGAAATCAATACAAATACATTAAAAAAAAAGAAAAAAGGAACCAGAAAGTTAGGTGGGTTCCAATAGAAAATGATAGAAATCATTATTCAATTAGGGTATTTAAGGAATCAATGAAAGGATATAGATGTCAGAATAACGTTAAAATAAGCAAGAATGGGATGAGAGGGTCACCATCTGGGAGCAAAGGAAACAGACTGATGAGCAGCAATGAGCAAACTTAATTCCTCACCCAAGAGCATAGAAGAAATTATGCCATTGTGCCAGATGCCAGAAGATTTCTAACCATGCACCACTTAAGTAGAGCGTGGGAGAGAAAAAAACACATACACCACATCATACAGACACACAACAAAGTAACTGCATAGCTTTAGAGATCCTGGTTTACAAAGTATGGAGAAAACAAAAAGGACAGATGCTCACTTGGCCAGCTCTCAATGGAACTCATTAAAATTGTCACCCTGTCCTTGGATCGGTGCTCATGTTAAGATATTACCTTGGTTAGCGAGAAGTCACCCACTTGTGATAAAACTGAGAGCAGTGTGGCCAAAAAGGAGAGAGATTATTTTTAAAGGCCCAAATAATTGGTCCCCCATCTCAATGTACAAATGCTAGGTATAAAATAGGGTCAATTAGCACTTGCTAGCTGTTACTAAATGACTGAAACATGAAATATATAATTTATAATATTCATATTTTACAGTAAGTCATTAAGGCATTCTAATTTAAGAGACACTTAAATGACTATCTTTTTAAACTATAATTTTAAATAAATTCTGACATTTCTTATATGGATCATTTCCATTGATTATATTTTCTATTATATATTTTCAGTTGACTTTTAAGAAATAAAATAAAAAATATTGCTGTCCTTTGATTTTTGTAGCAAAGGATGATACCAGCCCTAGCTCTAATAATAACAGTAAGTAATTAAGAGCCTAATTGTATAATACAATAGATTAAACTTAAAGTAGTTAAAATGTGGTAACAGTGACAACTTATTGAAAGCAGTAAGCTTGCAGATATGCAAAGTAAAAGTCTAGAAACAAAGCCCATACTGAAATTTTATTTATTCTTGGAATAATCAAAATGGGTGATATCTAAATTTAGGTCAAAGCTCCTGAGTAATTAAAGATACTTAGAAAATTTGAGTCATAGTTATATGATTATTAGATTGTAAAATCTCTAATATGTAAGATTATTTTTTTTGTATCTTGCCCACTCAGATCAAGATCACCAAAAGGAATATTTCTACCATTAAGCCACTTAATAAATAACAGTAGTGATATAATAATTGGATTTTCTATAGCATATTTCACAATCCTTACAATGGTGTACATTATTCTTAATTACACTTAGAAGCCATGAACAAACATAAAAATAATTTGTATATTTTCTTACATAAAACCTTACTTTTTTGTTACAATCCATAGCTAGTGTTAAGCAACAAACATGATTTAGACTAAAGTGTGACCAGAATACATAATCAACAAATTCTGTTGCAATTAAAGAGCTGGAGATTCCAACTTGTAATCTAATTTGGATAAAATGATGCCTGCTATATTCTTTTTAAAATATAAAATCCTGTAATAAGTTTTAATAGCAATAATGAGTGAAGATATCTATAGATAATGCATCGTTATGATGTAGTAAAACATATATTGAGTAATATTACTTACTTTGGCCACACAATTTTCAGTCTTCATAGCAGTGCTTGCTAGACATACTGTTTCTTGGTTTAAGCAGAGTCTGGCACAGCTGTTATAAGTCTGTAAAGAGAGGTGTAGGTTTTTTTGGAAACAGGTTTAAATATTAAAATATTATCATATAGTTTTTAAATTCTGCTCTATTTCTCAATATCAATACACAAATAGATTCTATATGTAAATTCCAGATTTATGAGTACTGAGGGACAAGGAAGACAGGGGAAAACCCAGGAAAGCCATTGATGTCCCCATAAACAAGTATGTGAGCAGCAGTGGTTCACTATATGTATGGAAGGTAGGGGTGTTAGTTATTGAAAAATGGGCAAAGAACTTGAATAGGTATTTCTCCAAAGCAGATATACAAATGGCCAACAAGCACATGAAAAGATAGGCAACATCACTAATAATTAGGGCAATGCAAAGCAAAACTACAAAATACCATTTTACACCCATTAGGATAAGTATTAGTAAAACAACAACAACCAAAACAAAAACTCACAGAAAACAAGTGTTGGCAAGGATGTGGAGAAATTGGAACCATTATGCACTCACTGTTAATGGAAATGTAAAATGGTACAGCCACTGTGGAAAACAGTATGGTGGTAGTTAAATAATTAAAAATAGAATTACCATATGATCCAATAATATTATTTTGGGTATATACCCCAAAGAATTAAAACAATCCTGAAGATACTAGTTAGTATACTGTATTTGTATGTAGTGCTCATAACAGGATTATCCACAATAGCTAAAATGTGGAAGCAGCCCAATTGTACATTGATAGGTTACACCTTAACCATTAAGAAATAAGCAAAATGTTGCCCTAACCGGTTTGGCTCAGTGGATAGAGCGTCGGCCTGCGGACTGAAAGGTCCCAGGTTCGATTCCGGTCAAGGGCATGTACCTTGGTTGCGGGCACATCCCCAGTAGGCAGTGTGCAGGAGGCAGCTGGTTGATGTTTCTCTCTCATCAATGTTTCTAACTCTCTATCCCTCTCCCTTCTTCTCTGTAAAAAATCAATAAAATATATATTAAAAAAAAAAGAAATAAGCAAAATGTGATATATATACACAATGAAATACTATTAAGCCTTAAAAAGGAAGGGAAATTATGACACATCCTATATAATAAAAGGGTAATATGCAAATAGACTGAACAGCAGAACCGAACAACCAATTAAAGCCTTAATAGGCTACATGATATGCTAAGGCTGCTCAACCGCTCACTATGATGTGCACTGACCACCAGGATGCAGACAGTCAACCGGTCAACCAGTCGCTATGATGTGCACTGACCACCAGGGGGCAGATGCTCTACCAGTAGGTCAGCTTGCTGCTGGGGTCTGGCCGATTGGGATTGAGCAAGATGGGCAGGACATGCCCAGGAGCCCTCCCTCGGTCCCTCCCCAGCCCCGATCATGCTCCGATGGGGTCCCTCAGCCTGGCCTGTGCCCTCTTGCAATCCGGGACCCCTCGGGGGATGTTGGAGAGTGGGTTTCAGCCTGATCCCACAGGCTACTCCCCTTGGGAGGATGCCAGGCGCAGGGCTCATGGCTGGTGAGTGCTGCTGTGGCAGCGCAAGCTTCTCCCGGTCAGGACTGATTGGGCACAAGCCTGCAGCAGGCACAGTGGGGCTGGGATGAGCAGGAGCGGCAGGTAGAAGCTGCAGGTGGCATGGGACTGTGAGTTTTGGCCAGATCCCCGCAGGCCCCCCAGAGGGACTCCACCTGTGCACAAATTCATGCACCGTGCCTCTAGTCTACACTAATAAAAGAGAAACGTGCAAATTGACCTTCCCTCCGCTATGCCCACCAGCCAATCAGAGTGATATGCAAATTAACCCAACAAAGATAGTGGTTATTTTGCAAACACAGGCACGGAGCGAAGACTGAAGACAGAGTAGAATGAAGCCAAGAGCTGCAGAAGGGAGCAAAGTGGCAGAGGAGGGAGCGGAGCCAAGGCAGCGGAGATGGGAGGGAGTGAGGCAGCGCTCCCTTCTCTGCTTCACTCCAGCCTCAGGAAGCCCTATTCTTGCAGGAATCTTCCTGCAACGAGCCTCTAGTACTATATAACATGAATGAACCTTAAGGACATTATGCTAAGTGAAATAAGTCCATTACAAAAATATAAATACTATATAGTTCCACTTAGAGATTTATAGTCAAAATCTTAAGAGACAGAAGTAGAATAGTGGTTGCCAAGACCTGGGAGAAGAGGGAAATGGGGAGTTATTGTTTAACACGTACAGAGTTTCAGTTTTACAAGGTGAAAAGAGTTACGGTGATGGATGGTGGTGATGGTTACACATAATGTGAATGTATTTAATGCTACTGAACTGTACATTTTAGAATGACTAACATGGCAAATGTTATATTACATGTGTTTTACCACAATTAAAAAGAAAACTGGTTGTACTTTATGGTAAGCAAACATTATTAACAACTGGCCAATATATTAATACAAATATTTCCCCCTTTTTGTTTTGTTTTGTTACTGACGGTATAAATCATGGTCCTCAAACTTTAGCATGCATCAGAATAATCTGGTGATGATTGTTAAAATACAGATTACTTGGCCCCATCCCCAGAGCTTCGGAAAAATTGCATTATTAACCCCTAGAGTGCCGGGGAGCGTGTTGGCGCTCCTCCTTTCTTTCGCCAAAAGTGTCGGGAGCACTATCACAGCTTCGAAATGGTGTCCAGTTCTAAGTCTGCTTGTATTAGTGATGATGATATTGCTAACTATGTCAATGTAGTAAAGGTTTCTTTAAGTTTTTGAATATGAAACTTATTGATTTCTTATGTGAATGTCTTACATAACTACAGAACATTTATCAAACCTAAGGAATTAACGAGGTACAATATAAAAAACTTAAGTTTTCCCACTTTTCCTACTAATGCCCCTTTTCTGTTTAGGATCCAACCTAAGGTCCCACATTGCATTCAGTTGTCATATCTCCTTAACCTCCTCTAATCGGTTACAATTTCTCATCTTTCCTGACTGTCACATCTGAAGAGTACTGATTAATTAATCTATGGAACATCCCTCAGTTAAGGTCTCATGTTTTCTCATGATCAGATTGAGGTTATACATTACTAGGAAGGATAGCACAGAGGTGATGTGCCTATCTCAATGTATCAAGTCAGGAGATATGTTGAATATTTCTAGTGATGTCAGCCTTGATCACTTGCCCAAGATTGTGTCTGCCAAGATTCCCAATTGTAAGCTTATTTTTTTCTTCTTTCAGAAATTACTAAATATTGGGGGAAATACTTTGAGACTATACAAATATTATTTTCTGCTTCAGCTTTGCTCACTAATTTTAGCATCCACTGCTAGATCTTACACCTATGGTTATTTTTACTGTGGTGTTCTATTGGTAATTTTTAAATTTCTCCCTTTCCTTCTACATTTATTAAATGGAATTTTCTGTAAGGAAGACCTATGACTTCTTTGCCAATTTACTTAAATATTTATTTATATCAGCAATGGTTGCATAGGTATTTTAAATAATTCATTTTTGGTCAATTATCATTCTTTGGAAAGAGAATAGGTAGACAAAAATAAAATATAAAAAAAACAGAAAAAATGTTATAAAATTGGTTTCCAGTTAAACAAGTTAAATTTTTAAAAAGGTATCCACTTAACTGTTGTATTCTTAAATTACTTAATTTGAAATTATTTCAAAACATATTTTAAAAGAATCAACTGGATCATTTGACATTAATGTATAGGACCTCTGGTACATTTATATTTTGGGAACAGGGTTCAGTACTTCTTTTGCAATTATTAATACCACAAACATTTACTATTCCTATACAGACAACATATAATATTTTAAAACTAAACTGTTTTAAAAAGACATTTATGCAATAATTGGTATATACTGAATAAAATAAAACTCTAAGCCAAAAAATTCTGGCTCTAACAATGGTAGAAATGTTTGTTTAAATTAACCCTCTTTATACAATAATTATAAACCATAGAAAAATATTTTAAAATAACTACATTAAAGGCAGGAGGAGGTTGACCTAAAATAGGCAGAAACTGGGGGGAGGAGTGGACTGACCTTGAAAGAGGATAATCATGCCAAAACCGGTTTGGCTCAGTGGATAGAGCGTCGGCCTGCGGACTGAAAGGTCCCAGGTTCGATTCCGGTCAAGGGCATGTACCTGGGTTGCGGGCACATCCCCGGTGGGAGATGTGCAGGAGGCAGCTGATCGATGTTTCTCTCTCATCGATGTTTCTAACTCTCTATCTCTCTCCCTTCCTCTCTGTAAAAAATCAATAAAATATATTTAAAAAAAAAAAAAGAAGAAAGAAAGAAAGAAAGAGGATAATCACTCTGGTGAGATCCATGTTTATGTGCTTTTCCCTAAGGGTACTACTACTACTCATGAGTCCACTTGGTGCAGAATGACTAAAATTCAACTAGAAAGCCACAGTCTATTGGCTTGAGATGTCAGAAGGTAGAGTTCAGGGCTACCACAGTGGCTGGAAAATGAGAAGAGAAATCATAGAAAATAGAAAGAGCCATGGGGAGGGAAGAAGCATCAAAACATGCATACAAGTTCCCCTTAAATCCATGGCTAACCCCAAGCTACAGACATGAGTGGGAGACTCCAAGCATTCCAATGGAAAGTAACAGCTGGAAGACTAAAAGATCTGAGCAGAGATTCTAGCTGCTGCCCCTGAGAGGAGACAGAGTTTATAATTTGATTTCTACTCAGTTAGAGGGGCTTAATGAGCACCTCAGACTTTCCACTGAAAACTCAGAAAACCCCCGCACTGAGACTAAAGAATAAATCTTAGGCCAAAACCAGTTTGGCTCAGTGGATAGAGCGTCGGCCTGCAGACTGAAAGGTCCCAGGTTCGATTCCGGTCAAGGGCATGTACCTGGGTTGCGGGCATATCCCCAGTGGGAGATGTGCAGGAGGCAGCTGATCGATGTTTCTCTCTCATCGATGTTTCTAACTCTCTATCTCTCTCCCTTCCTCTCTGTAAAAAATCAATAAAATATATTTAAAAAAAGAAAAAGAAAAAAAGAATAAATCTTAGGACTAAGGGCAAAATCAAAACACATTGCCCCTAATGGACACAAAATCAGACTCTATGAAGTCGCAATTATCAGCCAGAAAGTTAATCACAGGGAGATAAAAGAATCCATAGTCTCTGCTATGTACCATTTATAATGCTCATTATATAATAAAAAAAAACTTCTATATATGAGAAGCAGATAAATGGGACCCATAGTCAAGAGAAAAAGGAACAAACAGAATATGACCATGAGAGGACCCAGTTGTAGAAATTAGTACATAAAGGCTCTACAGAAGCTATAATAAATACGTTCAACAACTTAAATGAGAAATATGATTACAACGGAAATTTGAGATGAAAATTTTCCCCAGAAAAATTAAAACCTGAAACGAACCAAACAGAAATTCTATAATTGAAAAGTACATTATCTAAAATTAAAAATTTACTGGATGAGTTTAAAAGCAGACTGGAGATGAAGAAGAAAAGGTCAATGAAATTAAAGACTGATCAACTGAAATGATCTAAAGTGAAGAACAGAGAGAGAAA